AGCCTTAAGAGGTTAAATGCATCATCTATCGTTTTTGCTTCCATCGACCATTTTTTTATCAGTGCATTCTCGAAGTCAATAGCCATGCTTCGAGTAGTGAAATCTGTTCTTGTTGCAACAAGTATGTCGGCAAGCCCACCTTCACCATAACTTTTAGTCAACATGAGCACCAGTTCATCATACGGGTTTTTCTCGTGAAGCTGGTCGACGTAACTGATCCATGTACTCAGCACTGGGTTCTTCATAATATAGTCACTTTTGTCGTCGTTAAGCCGTAGCAGCCTGAAGACATCGTCTGCCGTCTTTCCATCACTCTGCCACCGTTTTAGTAACGACTCCTCCACCTTTGTTGCAATGCTTGCCACACGGCTATCTTCCTTAGCTGCAATTAGCATTTGTGCCAGTCCTTGGTCATCATAGTGGTTCATAAGCTTGCGCAACACCAAATTGTACGGATTTTCACTTGCCGCTTTTGGAATGTAGGAGATCCACGTGTCCAACAATGGATTCTTCAGAAGATCCTTCTCGTTCACTTCCAGCTTCAAAGCACTGTATATATCATCCGTCGTTTTCTGCTTAGCAGCCCAGCTGTCGATCTGCATGGCTTGAAATTCACTGGCAGGCTCTCTCGTTGCACGGACTTGCTTTGCTTCAACTAAAAGTTTGGCCAGAGCTTCATCATCGTAACGAGCTGCCAGCGTAGAAAACACAGCTGCACGACCAGCTTTAGGATTCGTCTTGTAAGCTTTGGCCACAGACGCTGTCCACTTTTTATATGGTGCACTCACAAAAAGACTTTCCTGGACGTTCCCGACCTTTAGACGAGCGAAAAGTTTGTCGGTTGCTTTTTGATTGTTGGATGAGAATTTTTCTTTGATGCTTGTTGCAATATTCTTCAGCTTCTGCGAGATAGCCAAACCTTCCACCCCGGGAAGTGTTGCACTAGTTGCTCTCTCCTCAAAACCGCCATCGTCTTGATCAAGCGATCTCTGTTTGTGGTTCCTCAGGTAGGTTTGATTATCTACATTGCCGCTCCAGTCTTCATCTCTGCGAACTTCAACTGTTGATGGCGTTAATGACGCCGTAACCAACTCTGAGCCACATGCCAGCAGGGCAAGGATGGACAGCAGCACCATGCAGCCCGAAGGCGTTGTGAAGCCAGGTTTGAGATGCATTGATTGAACAGAGCACAATAGGAAGTAAGTTGCGAACTGACGTATGGAATTTGAGTTTTTTGCTTGGTGGTGCTGGATATGTGATACTGCCAGATAATACAATCAAGATACAGTACGGTGATCCATTCAAAGCGTTTCCAGACCCATGGCATTTGTTTACAGACCAAATGATTACTCTGGCCCTGACAATCATGACCTAACGTACTTGCCCGAATAAAAGGCCTCTCCCTGGTAAAGACATCATTTACTAAATATAGATATCAAGATCCATACAAGCATCTAGATTGTTCTTTCTGACTTAATAAAACATTGAAAATTTTGAGTGTTTGGTCGGTTACTATTCAATAATAGCCGGGCGCGTGCGTTAATATACTCTGCATACTAGAGCGTCTTCGATTTATTATTAGCTGAGAATACACTTATTGAAAAAAGTGTCAAGGTTCGTTTACAAGGATCAATACAAGGCTACAAGGCATGGTCTACTTGTACTCACCGCAGGATCACCACACTAGTAGAATGGTTGGCAAGAAGCAAGCTGCAATGACATTTTTACTACAGCCGAAAATATCTCTATAACTGCGCGATTTGATCTATGTTGTCGCTTCATTTGTGGCTTCGATCCGTGAACAATCTGCAACATAAGAATCTCATAGTAGAACCCTTGATTCTGCAGGCTTCACCACGATACTAGCCAATGGACATCAACATGTTCTGCTACTATGGCAACAAACTATATAAAAAGAGAAGAAAAATACGGCTCCGATTAGCCGCACTCCTTGCAGACCGACAGGCCAACAGAATTTTTTTACATGTAGCACAAGTCCCAAAGTTATTGGACGCACCATCAGATACGAACAACCCGACTCCAAAATGTGCTTTGGGCAACCTGCTTTGCTCAACGTTCCGCTTACATGTTGATGTCAGTTGAATGTTGAGCGAAATAAAACCGAGCGAGTTACGCAGTACCGTGGAACTAGATCGCCTTCGATTTAGCAGGAAAAACATTTTTTTACGCGCCAGTTTACATGCTCGAAGAACGTGCCAGTTTTCGCAGAAACACTTTGAAATCTATAGCAGGATACAAATATTTTTGCTGCCCTTCGACCCGATACGGTTGAGCTGGGTGCTTAGATGGCCAATCTAACCCTTCCGGTTTCGATTTGCCAGCACACTTTTGTAATGCTTATGCGATTGGTTGTTTACAATATAAATAGATGATTGGTCATACTAAAATCAAGTACGATCGGAGATCACACCTATTCCCAGTATTAATTCGTTGTGGGATGTCCATATCCGAATATATTTCCAGTATACCCTTGCTAACTCTAAGGCAAATACCTAAATATCAACACTACGATGGTTTCAAGACCATTTGATTACCCTGATGTTCACTAAATGGTGAAGCCGTTGTTGGAATCATGTTGTTAATCACCCCAATAGTAGCTCTACAATTGTTTCAGGACCAAATGATTACCCTGGCACTCACGGATAGTGAAGATCACTGGAGCATTGAAGCACTGAGGCTTACTTAAACCTGAAGCCGTCGTTGGAATCAGTTAATGCCAGGGTGATCATTTGGTCTTGAAACAATCGTAGTGTAGTTATTGGGCGCT